CAACCAAAATTTCTCCAAGGTGTATCTGTCTTTACATTCACTTACCTATGATTTTTGGGATTGTGAATAAGAGCACCATCTAGTGATAATCAATAATGTCAGTATCATGAAAACGTGTTTATTTGGACTGGACATAAAGGCACACTGCTAATTCACTTCCCAAAGGGACTGGGGGGCTTAAAAGGAAATGGAGTCCTAGCTGTCATTTCCAAAATCTGGTGCCTTCCCCTAGATCCCCCTAAAAATGCACAGTAAAGACTGACTTTGACTGACAGCATGGAAAACATGAGATAACAACTTTAATACTAACATTTTGTTTCAAAAGCCAATTAAGTAATCTAATTATGTATTCTTGTAACGAAACTCTCCTCATTTGTGAATGGTTCATTTTCTATTGATCAGCATAACATACTTATTGCACTGAGTGTGAATTTAGGTGAAACCATTCTAATTTCCTAGGTATCCATTTTTTTTGGAAAGCCAACAATTCTGAATCTTCTTTTTTCAGCGAAGGGTGTCAAACAGTGGCTCCTCTTAAGGATCTTAGGCATTAAATAGTATCTAAATTGTTAGAATTTCCCTAAAACATCCATGCTTCATGATAGTTTTTTCCCTAACTTGAAGGATTTTACAAGCAAGTCTTACACTACCCATTCTCCAAGTATTATTTCAATGTGCAGGAAGATCATTATGACTATATGCTAATATAGAAAGCTATTTATTCCTTTCAGATTATTTCCATATGCGTCCTCTGTAATTAAATCAGTGGCTTATGGCAGCTGGTCTTTGAAGTGATCTCTGCAAAATAGGAAAATGTCATTTGTGGGACAAAACGCTGATTACTCTATTCCAGCCACATCTGTTAAGCTCTAGTAGTTCAGAGATTTCTGTGATGAGGGAGTTCATGCAAAGCAGAAAGTTTACTGTATTCCTTTCAGTCCAGGGCAAGTCCACTGGAAGTGATGGGCACTATTCTAACCAAGTAACAAGGTTTGAAGTCCAAGGTGTTGTTTGCCCACAATTTTCAGTGAATTCACTGAAACTGGTGCTTAAGTAAGTAGCTGTACTTGTGTATTTAAATAAAGGTACTACAGGGAGAATGATAAGAGAAAGCAGAGCAAGAATTCCTGGCAGAGAAGACAAGGATTTAGAGAGAGAAACAGAGAGATGATCTCTTCAGTGGCGGTGGGTGAGTAAAGCTAATAAAACTCATGACGTGATTCTCCTTGATTGCAGGACATCTTGGAAACACCTGGTATTGTACAGGTATAGACAACCATTATAATTACTGTTGCACAATTCTCCATGATTTTTGCAGGACCCTTAGAGCCTTTCCAAAGGGATGCCAGTTCAACTGGCAAAGATGCATCTACAAGATGGGTTTGCCAACACAAGGAATTTCTGTCCAACCCATCCAGCCACAGCAGTGCCTGCTGAAAAGGCTGTTACCCTCAGCTGCTGGGCACTCCTCTCCCTAACCTCCCTGGCAAAAAGTTACATTATTTAACAGCGTCATTGGGATACCCTCAAGCCTAAGATTTTTTCATTCCTTTGAAGGGAACAACTTCTGCTAGACACAGCAATCTATAGTAAGAAGATCCGTAGCAAAATCTGCTACCCCCTTCCCAATGAGGATTTTTATTCATGATATCTGCTTCTAATTAAATCACTGCACTGTATTATACATACTAAGACCCAATCCTTTGCCCTTTGAAGTCAATGGCAAAGCTCGCAATGAGTTCATGGGAAAAAATGTAACTCTTTTGTTAAAGCTTCCTTTAGTGATAATTCAACTGTTAGGTTTTTAAAACAACAACTCAGCTTTGCCACCTTTGCCTTCAGACAACAAGCAGTTCCTGATACTCCTGTACTAAGCAGAGAGTACTAGGAAGGGCAGATTTGGTCTCATAAAGTTATATTCCCCTGTCACTCTGGTTTTCTTTCTTTCTGTTACTGTAAAGTGCCACAGTGGACATAGGGTGTCTTGCACTATCTTTATTTTAGAAACTTCCTTGAAATTCAATATTGCAGCAATTTATGCCATTCGTGGCATGTTTATGCTACAGAGAACAAATGGAACCAGCAGTATAGAACACCACAGCTTATCTGCTCCCTTCATAGTTTTGACCCATCACCAGTTCATCTGCTAATGAATTGTAATATAAAACATGCTTACAAAACCCAAAGCATCCAGCTTCCTAAATGGGACCATATTTCTAAAATATACTTGCAAAAGGGCAAGTTTATAAAACAACGAGTCTGCAGCTGCACAGTCCAGGATGACATAACTCTTTTGAAGCAAAAGGTTATCCATGCATTCAGTGCCCAGTGCCAGATGTAGGAAGGAGATATCAAACAAAGAAGGAAACTTAAAGGATTCAAAATATATCTCTATAAAGTAGAAAGAAGAGTTGCAGACAGAGTTTCTCTGCTAAACAAGAAATGAAGAGTCCGTGCTGTGCCCAGGACTGCAGCACATGACAGAGAGCTCGGGGTCTAAGCCCACTGGCTCTGGCGAGCTCAGAGCCAACGGGGTTCTGTTATAATTTACCTTCCACATAAGCAACAAATAAAGCAGCCACTTCTTCACTGTTCTTAGCACCCCGCTGAGAGCAAGGTGCTGAGGTGTTTTGGAGATTTTTGGCCATCATGCTCAACACCAGGTTGTATTGGCAGGTACCCAAAAAACAGCACTTTGATTTCGGTGCACACTGAAGCGTTTCGGCCTAAGTGTGCGTTGGTCTCATCCTAACGTTCACACTGGCTAGGGACTGCAGATTCTAATGGAATGGGACAGATGGGAAAAATTACAGAAAAGGAAAAAGAAATCCACAGTGTAACTTGTGTACATTAGGTTTGAAATTTGAAACCTCCAAGCTGATATCCAGTGGGGTTTTTTACTGCCAGTTTTGTTCCAGCCAATGAGCGGTGCTTGTGAGTACTGGTCACAATCTAAATGTTATCATTTTTGTCCATAGCTGATTCCATGCACAGAATTATTCCTCTTAAAGATATCCCTGCAAATTTTATAGAGTGCTAAGCATTTACCTCATGAAATATTGTCCCTTAAAGTAATTTCTGCTCTAAATATTTCTGCTGTAAATTGGAAGAACACTGAGTTGTGTATTTGGAGGAAAGCCCTTCCATGATATGCATAAATTACTAGCTGTGTCCTCTCAAACAATCCGACACAATTCTAAAGGACTTTGTAAACAGCATTTCCTGGTGTGATATTTTAATATGAACTTGGCTGAAAGTCTTACTATTACATTCCCATTCACAATAAGAATGCAATGGCAGAAAATACAGAACAATGAAATGAAATAATGCCTTGCAGTGTATTTTAAAAGTTTCCAGTGAAGAAACAAAAAATGGAGCAAAGCTCTATACAAAGCAGCTAATCTAATTTAGTAGGAATACACTGTTTGGTTTCTTTAGTTTGTTTAGTTTAAATCAGTGTGAATTATGGGGTTCATTCTATTCCATTGAAAACTCGCCTAGCGTGAGAGTTGGAAAAGCATCTATTGGAAATGAGCACAAATGAATCCATGGATCCAAACCATGCTTGTATTTGCCTAAATACTGTGGGAAACGTGCCAAAACCAGCTTGGTATGTTGTGCTGTATATCCAAAACAGGGTATACACTCTTGTGCTAGTTCAGCCTGCAGCTTTTAAACAACTAGATGGGACTTCAGTACTAAACATTTCCACTGGCACGATAGCTGGAATGCAAAATTTGAAACTAAGGAACGCAGAGCCCTAACCTTTAGAAGTGCATGGAAGCCTTTGGTGGTTAAGGTGTATGATTTTTTTTTCCTCATTGTTTTTCTAGTTAGAAATGGTAGAGTTTTCAGGAACAGTTATTTAGTGGTGTTCTATTTTCGTTAGGTTTGGGGATCCTTACTTTGTTCCTTGGTTTTGCAAAATAAATTAACCTAACCTCCATTAAAGCCCAACTTCTTCCCAGTCTGTCAATGGAAGTTTTGTAATTTACTTAAATAGGAGCCAAATTCTATCATCTAAACAAGTGCAAAAATGTATTGGTTAGTAAATTGGGTCAAGGCTCGTAAAACAGTCAAAATCCTCTCCAGAAAAGATAGATAAACCCATAAATTTCCACATAATTTCTTGTGTGAAAGAATATGTAAATATGCCTCACAGGATTTTCTGAATATCAGCAAATACTGTCTGTGTAAGATGGTCTGAGGGGTGAATTTGAGAGTATGAGTCTGTCCGGGCTGCAAAAACAAACTATGTTTGGAAATGTATTAGCCAGCAAATTTAAACAAACACTTTTAAATACAGGCCAAGTAAGGCAAGTTGTGTTTAAAATCGTGTAGGTTGACTCTAAACTCCCCTCCCTTGCTGCCAAAGTTCAACCAGCATGTTTTAAACATGGCTTGCTCTGTTGAGTGCTATTGCATAAAGTTGTGTTCAAGTCGTTTTTGAAATGTCAATTGATACAAACAAGGCAGCATCAGCAGGGGCTGTGAGCTCAGTGCTGAGCCTTTACACAGCACCCTGAGCATTGGCATTTCAAACCCAGTGGTGGAGAGAAAGATCCTACTTTAACTAACCTGGTTTACCTGCTTGGAAGTGTGACAAGAACTTGAAAAGGTTTCCTTAAACCCAGCGGCTTTGGTGTCCTTTGTGGATGGACCAGCTCTGTGCTAACATACCTCTCATATATGTGGCAGTGACATGCTTTGCCTTACCTCAGGATCCAAAGCATAACTGTGCTAACATGTCTCACCCTCAAGTCTTTTTTCCACTAGACTAAGTGTAAAGCTCAACATGATGCAAACCTCTTGGGGTCATTCTGCAGGAGTCAAGCATTATGGAGAAAACATCTAACTCCCCCAGCAGAGCCCACCTGTGATTACATCCAGCTAAGTAATCGTGTTCACACATCACTTTTCACACTCTTGGTTCCGGTTGTTCCCAAGTCTTTAAGTTTCACTTTCAGTTTCAGGTTCCAATGAATCCAAAATGATGAAACAGAGACTTGAATTGAGTTGAAATCTGAGCATTTTGATGGACAAGGGCACAAGTCTAAAATGACCAGGCAGCCAGCTGTCACACATCATTACTGAGCCAAAGGTAAAACTACTATTTGGGCAGCAGCAGCAGAATTCTCCTTGTAAGCATCTGTTCATTTTTACTTTTAGGATCAGAAAAAGAGGGCTGAATTTCCTTTGAAGTGCTTAGAGGTCTGAGTCATGCAACTTACTGCCCTTGAATACTAGAACTATTTGGTTAAGTTCCCAAACTTAAATTACCAAGACTTTGACAGACACAAACAATGAGTTCAGCAAATTGCTGTTTGGTGTAGGTAACAAATATGCTGGGAATAATGTACCTCTATAGCAAACAGATAATTTTATGAAGTCACATCATAATTGAATTATAAATCTAAATCTTCTCTAAGATCTGAATCGACTCCATTAAATTACCTGTTGCAAAAGAGGTGTTTCTTAAAGAATATAGCTTTATTATTTATAACATAGTCAGTATTGTTAGGTATTAGTAGAAAAACTCACAAGACTTTTTTTTGTACATACAGTTTTTGTGTATTTTAAATGAAAAAAGAAATGTTCAAAAAAAAATCCCCCATGATATTCATAAAAACACATTCTTTCGTATATCTCATGGTGGAAACAGAAAGGAGATACCATGCCTTACTTTGCTTTTATATATCTTAGATTCTTATCCTTCTAGGGTCACTGTTACACTGAGATTTCCCAACCACCTCCTGCTTTGGGAAAGCAGTGCAGTACTGACATGCTTTGGTGCCTTGGTGCATACAACCACTGTTTTCCTTAGCTTTATACTCCTGATAATCTTTTTTTTTTTAAAAAAAAATCCCATCCATTTATTAGATATCCTTTCTAGCACTGTATGTCTTTTGAAATAGAATTTAAAATAATTGGGTTTAAAGCCCTTATGGTCTATGGGGACAGTATATAGAATACACAAATTCTTTTTAACTGAAAATAAGTTTTTATGAAGTATTTACAACATGAGTGGACATCACAAAGCGAGTTGGTGTATGGAGCCAGGGTTCAGAGGGGTGTTAAACACTTCGTGTATCTCTACGGAAAATGAGTCAAATGTTTTCAAAATTTATGTTTTGAATAAGGGTTAAAAATGGAAAAGAAAAAATTATAATTTCTGAGACTTCAAAAAAATCCATTTGTTGCAATCTCACATCTAACAAATTACTGAAAAATCTGAAATCTAATTTAGTGGTTCTAAAATTATTTGCTAGTGAAAATTGCCTATTTTATGTGCTGGTGACAAAAGTACCGAGATATTTCTTTGTAAAATGTTTGTCTCTATCTCTCTGTTAAGTATTTGCATAGTAATGGAAGACAGTAATTTATATTGCAGGCAAAACTCTCATGGATTTTGGTGGGAATGCTACTTGCATGTATGCTTTAAGAGCTAGGCTACAGACAGTGGGGACATGGTTTACATATTCTTTATAAATGTAATAAAACTATTTTAAAAGGCATAAACCAAACCGGTAAAAGCTGATTCTGGCAGTGAACTGCAGTGACTTACTCCATTAGCTTTTTAAAACAATATGTTTCCTTTATCAAAGAGTGAACTTTGGATTTTTGTATCCTGCCACATTTTCATGGATTATCTCACTTCCCTTCATTTTGCATCCGTGTCCTCTTAAGTTCAGTATCACAATCACTTCTCCACTCTTGCTTGGTTTTATATAATCAAGGCCCCTTGATTTTTACTGTTACAATTTTTAAGTTCTAGCTACAAGTTTTCACTAGATGGCAGGAGTCCGCTGCCCTCTCTTATCAGAGCCTTTACTTGCAGAGCAACAGTTGCCCATCGGTAGGGGAAAAAAAAAAAAGTAAACATGTTCAAGTTTTGCAAAACAGAAAACAAAAAAAAAATAACAGTAATGAGAAAAAGTATTCATACCCTCAATAAATCATAGTTCTGTTACTGAATGTGGTTAGTATTGTGGGCTGGAAATCATTGAAAAGAATAGTGGAAGATGTTCTTTTCTCGACAGAGGAACTAAAAGGACCTTCTTTTATAAAATGAAGTAGATTTACTGTTTCTGCTGTTTGTGAAGAAGTCAACTGATCCAGTACACTGAAGTTAATTAACTAATAAATATATTGACAGGTTAAGAAAGTTACAGCTTAAATACTAAACTACTGATCTAAAATACTATATGGAAGTACAAAAACGTAACACTCAAGATGCTGCATTACCAAGATAATAAAAGGAGATAAGATGCACGTTAAACTCCTTCCCTCCACTTAACAAGGCAGAACTCATTTTGTAGTGATCAGTCCCAGTAGCATTTCAGCCAGAGGTATTTTGCTGACCTCAGAGCTGTGGACCAAATTTGTGCCTCTTGTCTAGGAGAACAGAATGCAGCTCCATACAGTTACATAAGCCTTAATAACCGTGACAAATCTTCATTGTTGCAGCAGTGGGGAAGCTGTTGCACTGGACTGAGCACTGATTTTTAACAAAACTACTTTTGAAGTATTATTTTTTTTTGCTACTTGGGGCTACCGGTTGTTATTTTTAATTTATTCTGGGTTCCTACTGTCTGTTTTGCTCTCCTTCTATACATGCAAATAATTTCTGAAGTGTCCAGGAATTTTCACTGTTGCTCACAAAATATAAGAGGGGATGTTTGGCATCTATTAAGGCTGTTTCTAAGTCTGGATAACTTTCCAAAACCGGAGATAACTCAGTATAATACTCTCCAGGATTCCCAAAATAGTAAGAACATTTTCTCATGGTAAAGCTGTATTTATTCTATGACTAGAGTAGAAAAACTATGATAAATAGATAACTGGAACAGCATTTCCAAATATGAGATTGAGTTTGCGATGTGCCGAGTGCACTCAAAGCCAGACAGAGACCCAAACAGGAGCTGAAAGACACCCATCATGTCACGAGTTAAACCTTTAATGGTTAAGAAAATGTTTGCAATACTTGCAAGCTACCAAGAGGTAATCATTCCTTTTTATTGAAACCAATCAGCACCTGTAGAATCTCTGCAGAACACGCCAGCGAATTCAAACAACCGTCACAAGATCCACACCAGCCACTTCCCTGGAAGCAGTATCTCATTTGTATCTAACCAAACTTTCTCCTCACTCGTGTTCCCAGCACACCGATACCATCTCTCTCGTGCTCCTACCTTGGCGATCTGCAAAGGCTGCTTTTGCTCCTTGCCACCTTGCAGTCTAAAGCCCCAAGGCGCCCCTCCGCTCATAGCAATGCAGAGATAATCCCCCGTGCCCATGTTCCCGGTGCAGTCAGGCAGCATTCAGATACAGGAGAACATGGGAAGTTTGTCTTGCAGATGTTCAGCGAGCTGGAGATTTCAGCTGCCAGGCAGAGCTGGAGAGCCAGAGCACCACACTGTTGCTGCTGCTGGGAACTGCACGAGCGAATGTAGTCATTGAGGAGAATGAAGAGCTCCCTCGGCCCGAGGGCACAGCCCACTCTGTCGTCAGATTCCGACGCTCAGCCCACCTTCAAAGTACAGTAAGTAACGCCGGGGAAATGCACACAAAGACACTCGGCCATGAGGCAGAGAAGGCTGCGTTTAAACACGGCTCTGGTGACAGCTGAATCAAAACAACAGCAAAAAGAAGTGTACATTTCCCTGGGACAATTTAGGAAATAAGTTTACTTTAGTAAATGGTGCCAGGCATTTTAAACTCTGATTTACCCACTTCTTGCATTTTTACTCTAAAGAAAGAAAGCAGAATCTCTAGTGAAACATCATGTACATCTTCTGAATAACTGGTACACTTAGACTGAACTGGGTTTAGGATTTTCATCTCTACCCTGCATGAACTTTCTGCAGCACTGCAGGTATGCCAAAAAAAAACAAAAACAAAAACAAAAACAAAACAAAACAAAAAAAAGAGACAGAGAGAGAAAACTTTATCATTTCCCTGTCTTGGAATTGCTTCTTTTTCTAACCTTGGTATAGTTCAATGTGCATTACTATTAACAATGACCTGAATTATCATTGGACCCTAATAATACCTGTTGTGCAGCCTGTTGCCTTTCCTACCCGAGTAGGGAAGAGGATTAGTGGAATGAAGTATCAGATCTCTCTACGGGTGCTATCAATGGCTGATTTGCATTGTGGCATTAAAAGGGAACCTTACTATAAGCACAAAAAAACATTCAGTGGGAAGTTAATTTGCCAGTGCCTCACAAGACCTGGGTTCAGTTCTGTTCCCTGTTACTCTCCTGTGGTCATGCAGCCTGTGAACAGCTGAGCTCCTCCTGGTCTAGTGGAGTGGTTTAAGAGGTGACTGGATTTCAACAAGGGATGAATATTCCTCTAGCTGAGCGTTAACAACTGACAGCATAAGCTCCTACTCACCTCAGCCCAAAGTCAGGTAGCCTGGCTTAAATCACATTGCATTCTGCACTAAGCTGGTTCTAAAGGACAGTGTTCAGCAGATGGGCAGAAACATCTTCCATGTCTAGACTGATGTGTGAAACAAACACCTCTTGCTTTGAGACCTGTGTTGCTGGGGGCATCAGATTTTCACAGCCTGAATTCACTCAGGTCCCTGTATGAACTGTTTTCACTTGGCTAGTTCTTGCACCACAGCATTGTTCCTTAAAGACAGAAAAAATATCAAGGTAGAGACAGGATCTTTTGTTAAACTCAAATATTACGGCTGGAAAAAGTAGACAGGCTTTTAGGAGCTTGAGCCCTTCAGGCCTCTGAAGACACTAAGACTGGGTGGAGACAAGATCCCCGATCAAACAGAGGAAAATGTCACTCTCTCAATAACAGGATTTAATGGGAGGAAGAGTGTTTGCTTTATTGACTATGGCTTAAAAGCTCTGGAGAAGCAAAACAAGCACAGGTTGCCATATAATTAAATACTTAAGGGAAACACTGTCAGAGAATCCATACTTGGAAAGGGAATGGCTTTAAAGAGACTTTGCTGGACAACCTCTGAGTGCAGACACGTGATTTGAAATAATTCAGTTCAAGGTGTCTGACTGCTTCTTGTTACCTTGTGCAATGTTCATATATTGCTACAGCAGACAGACTTTCCGTCTTTCCCAAGATTCCCAAAGAATCTTGCTTTAGACAAAATTCTTTCCCTTTTGCCTAATGATGCACACTTTTGTAGATACTTCTGTGACGCACTGTTAAATACAAAAACTAAACATTTGCTTTAGGAAAATGAATTACATAATTATCAACCCTTCAACTGTTATAAATTTATCATTAAATAAGTCTGTTAAATTACTGCTAGGGTGTTTTGAGCTTGTATTAGGCTCTCTTTTATCATTTTGACCAAAACTGATCTCTGTTTCTGAACTTCTTCATATACTTATTGCAGAGAACAAATTAAGGGGAATCACCCCAGCATTTGGATGGTCATATATGTGCTGGGAATTTGTACTAGATGTGGATGCTTTTCTCTCCTTTGACCATATAACAGACTTGTGTAAAATATTAAAACAGAACCATCTTGATTAGTCATTGCTCAACTGAAAAAAATTAAACAGTCAGAACACCAGGATCTGTTTGATTTTGTTGTATGATCAGCAGTTGGTGTCCCTTGAAGTTATTCCCCCACCAAGTATTTGACATCATTAAGGCAAAAGAGCAGAGAGAAGCATTTTAAATTTGATCATGCCTTGGGAAAAGACAGCAAAACAGTGCTAGTGGTTTAGGTTTGCAGTAAGAAAAGCATTTGAAGTCTGTAATTAAACTATTCCCATGTTGGGAAGATCCAAAGCTTCCTATGTCTTAATCTAACAAAGAATACCCCATAGGCACTAACAATTCCCATTTGCCTTATCTGAATTTCTGAACTGCTTATGCTACAGCATATTTTGCTTTTTAATACTTCTCTTATCTTCTTGTACATTCTCTGCATCCTTTGGGATTTCTAAATGCTGGTCAGAAACTGGACATCAAGATAAAAGTGGAATCATTCATGGGGTTTATGACTTTCTGGTCTCTGTAGTTTATATAGCTTAAATAAATTGCACAAATTTGGAGGTAATTTTCAAAATCCACTGAAAAATTTAAAGCTAATGGCAACCACAGCCACTTAACCACTGCCACCACCTCCATCGTTTCACTAAAACTTAAAGATCCAATTCCAGGCAACAACTCATAAAAATTTTATGTCACAAAAAATAACTATATAAACTTGGCAAAAGACAGATGGCAGAACTCACACAACACCTGTCTGTGCCCAAATACAGGGAAAGCTTTGGCTTGAACCTGATCTTCTCTGATGAGATCTTAGCTCTTGGCATAGGAAGTCATCCCTACATACATTGGGACGTAAAGAATCACCTTTTCTTCTTTGAATCTGGATCCTGCAGATTCATTTGATGTCCCTCCCCTGCTTCATGGATCAGAGGAATCTGTGACCAGGCAATCCCCAGGCACACGTTCCAGGCACTTATTTTACAGACCTCTTACATATCCACCTTTTTTTCCAACAGATAACAGAGTAATTAGTCGTTCTTTATACGGAAGCTGTCTCCTACCTTTCATTATCTCGTTTCCTCTTCATCCTCTAGAGTTCCATATCCTTTCTGACGTGGGGGCCTGGATCACCACACCGTCTTCAGACAGCAGACAAAGCTGGGATTTATACAACAACATGATGATATCATCTATTTTGTTCTCTAGTTGCTAACCCCAACATTGCTAACACCTAATTTGCTTTTTCAGACACTGCTGAGTTGATGTGCTCATGGAATTATCTTTTAAAATCTTGAAATCTTGTCTGATGTAGTCAGTTCAAAGTACACAGTTTTACATGTGAATTAATGTTTTTCCCCCAATGTGTATCACCTTATGCTTCTAAGCCATGTTATGGTATGGCTGCTTAGTTTTCTTAAAAGCCTTTGCTGAAGGAATTTGTTGAAAGCCTTTTGTAAATCCAAGATCAATCAGATCACCCTCATCCACGTGTTTTTTGATCCCCTCAAAGAACTGCCTTATGTTTGTGAGGCAGGACTTCCTTTTATGAAAACCTTTTTAACTCTTCCCAGATAAGTCATATTTATCCAGATGTCCACTGTTCCATATTATAGTTCCCACCTCTCTGTTTTGTACAGAGACTGGGCTGACAGGCTTGTTGTTTTCTCAGTCTCTCTTGGAACACTTCATTTAAAAAATGGCTCTCTCTAATCTCACTAACAGTCAGCTATTTCAGCCTTCAATTCCTTTAAAGCTCTGTGTGGTCTTGGGGACTACTTCTTAATTTTCTTTGCCTCATCTGCTGCCACTTGTCCATATATCTTTTTTCTTATTGTAATAATAATTTATGATACTGAACAGTTTTACTACAAGTGGATTTATCTAAAATCTAATTTAAATCAGGTATTTCTGGAGCTGAGTTCAGAAGACATTCTCCAAATGTGAGAAGAAATAAGAGAAATCTTGTCTTTCATCCAGCAATAAAAGCAAAGCTGTCATTTCATCTACAGTTTCCTACAGTGGTACCCCAGGTCTGAGGATTCTTTAAAAATGCAAATATTTCCACCCATTCCTTAGTAATGAGGAAGAGACAGAGGGAAAGGGGATATCATGATCTCTAATTTATAGGCAGCATTTTACTGCTGTAAATACCCAGATGGTCTGACTTGCTCCTTTTTCTGCATTTCATTTTCTATCTGATTTTTTTCCACATTAAAATCCACATAAGCTAGTTCCTAAAAATACCTATTTTAACAGCTTTCTAGTAGACTTTATTATCTGTAAACAATTTAATAAACTAAAAACAATTTAATAAACCAATTTATTGTAGGATGTGATTTCAGCCAAATGGGAGAATCAGCGGAGGAAAAAAAAAAAAAGAAAAAAATTGTCACTGTTCATTTATTTGGGGTTTGGTTTGTTTATTACATGGAGAAAAAAAAACATTCATAAATATATGGTGAGTTTAATGGCATAAAAGATAAAATCACAGCCATGCCACTTAAGAAAACATGACATACAGTCTCTTCCAAATGAAGAGCAAATGGGTTCTTTCAATATATCCCTTCAAATGATACTTCTTTTAAAAGTGGCTTCTGCCAGCTGGGCAATGCCAGGCACATCAGCATATGTTATTGTCCTGAATCATTGCCTAATAACATCCCTTGTTTCATAGTTGTACAGCTCAGTAGTTACATAAAGTAAAAGTATATTTTGAAGGCAGAACTCAACATCATTTTTCCCAAACCTTATGGAAGTAGAAAAATACATTTCTGCTTAATTGCTACAGTTTGGTTCTCCTGATGTAAGAAGCAACAAGGAACAGAGACACATGGAAAGGATTTCATTTTCAAAAAAGATATAAAATGGCAAAGTGAATGAAATATATTGATGGGAGGTTCAAATGCACAGCTCCAGCTAACATCCATTAAAGCTGATTGCCCTCCATTTTTTCCCATCAAATTTCTCTTGTCCTACAAGATAAATTAATGGAATCCAGATGTTCCAATTGCATGAGGAACTTTCCAGTGCACTGCCAGCTAAAGAGGGTTTGCTGACTGAAAGTACAAACATGGAGTGACAAAGGTACTAAAACCCAGTAACACCAAGTTCTTAGTGAAGGGAAAAGAAATTAAAAATGCAAGTCATAGATAAATATCTACCTCTAAGGCCAGACAGGAAACCTCTACTCACACTCACGGGAGGCATGAACAGTTCCTCATCAGTAAAGGTAAAGCCTTAAAATTTTAATCCCTACCATGGATTATGAGGCAAGGTACTATGTGATGGGTTAGAATTTTAGAACTAGTCTTGCTTTCTTGTTGTTTTCCCCAATTTCAAAACTGGCAAATGAAGCGTTAATGGAAGAAGCAGAGAAATGTACAGGAGTGTGTCCTCCTAGGTGCTTGTAATGGCTTGATCCTGAGGGGTTTTGGATCTATTGTGGGGGAAAAAAAAACCAAACAAAGAGGCAAAGGAAGCCACTTTCCTCCAAAACACAGAAACAAAGTTGTTGTCCTTGAGCATTGCTGAATTATAACAGAAAAAGTAGAAATTCCTGCAGAGAATGTAACTCTTCGATTCACCGTGTCAGGAGGTAGATGAATGATCAGCTCTTGGACCATGTTCACATCACAGGCCCTCTGTAGCCAAAGACCTGCCACCATTAAATACACTGCATGAAAACATAAGGATGACTCAAAGAGCCAAGCATTTGGAGAAGAGAACTCTGATGTTTCTTTGGTGTTTGTCCTACCTGTTCCTACCACAGCCAGTCTCAGAAAATCAGGAAATATTTCCTAAACTACTGGCTGAAGAGAAGTAAACTTTTTTTTGTCTTTCTGGACTTCTTAGACAAAAGTCTTTTGAGAAGGTTTTTCTTTATGCAAAGGCAAGGATTTCAGGTTGTGTCCAAGAATTAACACACAAAATAGCTACAAGATTTTGTTGTGAAAAATGTGTAAAACACATTCACTGCAAGGTTTGTGAACGTGGAAAAAAATGTTGTGACAATGGAATAACTGTTTCTCGTTAATCTAGAAGTAAGGATTTTGGGCTAGAATTCATGTTTCCAGGTGTCATTCCACTGCTGGTTTTACTTATCCCTGTGTTTTAGAAAGCAAGAATTAATTTTCTCTTGGGACCTGGAAAGACTTTTAGGTGTCTATTCCCTTTTCATTTTGATTCCCAGGAGATGGGATGACTCAATTTTTGGCTTCAGTAGTTGGAAAAATTCTGATAAAAGATTCTAAAGTAGAAAGAAAAGTATTTATGTGGTGTTTTCTTTCTGGTTTTGGCAGGGCAAGGTTGCATCACATTCTTCTTAATAGAGCCTATGGGAATCAAATCTGATCTTCTGTGCCAAAGCTCTGAAGAGTCTTGACTGGAACATGCATGTAAGTAATGGAAGCAGGTGTTCTGCTTTCCTCACCTCTGCCCTAATGCTTCATCCTGCTCTTTGAATTGTCATTTAAAGGTGGCAGTTAAGTAACACAGCACCTTTCATCTACCTGTTCATCTCAGACAGTCAGACTTTATGGGCTCCCCTCTTCCTACTGAAAGAACCCAGAGCAAACACTTCAAGCCAACTTACTGGGTTAAAGAAATACACCCCGCTAAGCTCTCTTCTGACGCGCTGCAGTGACACGAATCAAGAGCAACCGTATCATAGTCAGGTAGAAAAATATTTGAATCGTAGCTGAGGTACAAATTAGGCCCAAATAATCTACTAAAGTTTTGAAGGGATGGTTTAATATGAAACTGAAGATGGAAGAGATCTTGAAGATTTAACATTAGCCCGATGAACACTCACCTGCGTCAAATTTCATCTTCGAAATTTTGTTTCCTGTCAGCAGGTGCAAAAGTGATTAACTCCCTTTGACTTGTTGCTTTTAAGGAGCTCAATTACATGCATGGCCACAGTCCAGCATAAAAATCAACTATTTTTGCATTGCAGTTTAAAGCAGGTATTGTTTGTCACTTGGAAGGCCCATAAGAATGAATTTTTCCATACTGAAAACAAGAACGGGAGAAGCAGAGGAACAATTAAGTTGTAACAGAGTAGGGGTCTTGGGAAGTTTGGGTTCTCTTTTTACACTGGCAATTTCTCATTTTTTGCTCTGGGCCTGTAAAATGGGGAAGGTGGCCACTACACAGGGTAACCCTGAGAAATCTCCTTGAACTTCTGAAAATCTCTGCTTGTAGTTTGATAGTTTGAGTCCTCCTGTAGTACCCCGCTCTTCTCTCTTTCCTCCGTACTACAAAATAAGCTGTAAGATTTTTAAAGCAATTTGGAAACACTCGCCTTACAACCACAGGGATGTATTTTGTTCAGTATCTGCCCCAGTGAGTGGGATGCTGGTGGTTCAAACTACAACATCCAGCAAAAGGACAGGGCAAAAAAAGTTGCTTTGGCATCAAGTTCTGCCTGCAAAAGGCAAAATATCTCTGCTCCCTCTTTGCCTCTGGATGGACCTGGTTAAGGCTTTACTGGAGAAGCCCAGGTGACACAACAAGGATCTCCCTGCAGGAAATCTTACCCCCCATCCAAGAAACTGCAATAGATTAAAGAGCTATCCAGCTATCTTCATTCCTGGCTGGAGGAACACGAATTCCAACTCTCTGCTTTGATAACTAATTCCTTTTCCAAGTGGAACAGATTATATTAGAAAAATCTGCCCTCCAAAACCACCTTGATGTTTAACCCCTGCTGATCCTGCAGCCTTGCCTGTTGTGCTGCATCTACTTTCCAGACTTCCCAGCTCCTTCTATCCCTGGTACAGGCTTCTGCTTTTGGTGATAATCTACTGTTTAGCTGGCATTGACATGGATCTGCCTGTTTTCCAGACAATTGCCAATGTCTGCAAATGCTGAACAAGTGGTTTATGTGCCTTCGCAGTGCAAATCTAGTATGTGAGCTGTGATACCAAGGGTGATGTATAATTTTGCTCCTGCCCTTTATTTTCACACCAACTGCATCTCCTATCCCTTTGTTGCCTCTTCCACATAAAAACAAAGTGATGGATTAAAAAAAAAAAGTTAATTCTGATTTTCTTTGGTTTAATTTTGATGTTTAGTTTTGCTGATTATGGGGAAGGTATTAATAGGTTTAGACTAAAGGTACCCAAATAACACAATCCCAGTATTTTGAAAAATAGTTTTGTAATCCAGACTGATACTTTTACAAATGTCAGAGATGCTTTACTGGTATATAATACCTCTGCCATGCTCAGGTAGAAGATTTTTTACTTCCACATTACAGGTAGTGTAAAGAAGAAGCACAGTGAATGTGAGCAAAACACACATAGAAGTATTTGGATTCTAAGTAATTTCTGAGTGATTTTGTTTAGGGTTGTTTTTCTTATACAACAGGTTCCACAGTTCTGAGCATTTGTCAGAAATAATACCATATGAGTAGCAGTAGACAATCAATTATATGGAACAAATATGACTTACTAAGAGTAGGATTGCACTCACAGTATGTTAATGATCACTGGCACTGGCTGAAACACAGCCGAGTTATTAAATTCATGTCAGGTCTTCCAGTAAGAAAACTGAGTAAATAAATCAAATACTTTGTTATGAAGAGTTAACTCAGTTACTCTTCTTTTTAATGTTAGTAAGTTTATTTGAGTATTGTTCTGGAGCAAGACTACACTAATAGAGCAGAAATTTTATACACGAGCAGGGAATGTAACAAGAAAGCCAATGAAAGTAAAGCTGCTGCAGACACTTTTGAATGTAAAACTGAAATATATCTACATTTGAGAAATTCCATACATTCGGCAAGCAAACATGGGAAGCATCATTTAACTTTCTGTTGTCCTTTCTCAGACTGATGGCTTAATGTTTATTCACAGTGCTTTATATGTGATACATTATTCATCAGATTATAATCAGTTCTCATCTTTGTTTTTATGTTACAGTTCATTATGTAGCAATTACTGCAGGATAATCGAGTCATGGGGTTTTTTTCTGTTAGGAACAGGTAGTACAATTTTCCACTCTCATGCATCTTAGACAGTAGTAAATTAATTAAAAAGATAATTGAAATTCCCCAACTGAAACGTCCCAGCAGTTTTCTCAGAACACTGTATCCATCTCCTGTAAATGTTCCAGATCGAGTTGCCAGAATGTTGATTTCATTAGAAAACCAAAATAGCAAGTCAGTGAGAATAAGCAGAGGAGCCTCACAATTTGCAGATATTGAAAAATCCAGAGGCTTGAACTAACCAGAAAGTCTTTTTATGAAGAAAGCAGCCACAGTCAGTTTTCTAAAGCACATTTGCTTTTGTAATGCGTGACTTGCACAGAATTGATCACATGTGGACTAGTAGAGCATTTTATAAAAATTTATGTTTTACTGAGTTTCAGGGAAAGAAAGTGGTTTTAGATAATATCCTCTGCAGGGTATAACAAAGTATTTGTCAGAAAATATATACAGCAATGAATGTATGCCCTGGATTTTAACTTTACTGTATTACTTTCCCTGAATAACAGCAGCTACATCAGTCTGATGTTCTGAAAACCCTTTGCTTTCTTTTCATTCTATTTAGGGCAGTGTTTAGAGGGTGTACTCCAATAATATTTTCTAACTGCCACTGAGACATATCAGTATTCACTTCTGTTGTACCTTCAATTAGGTTTCCATTGTGCATAGTTTTTTATATTAGAAATGTAGCTGAGTCACAATACTGATGTATTTCTTCTTACAGTATTGTTCTGATTCCTGAAATATTACATCTTTTCTTTTTTTCATGTAGCATTTTTTAATCTAACACACTTTTTTTCTCCAGAAGAACATAATCCCTTCAAAATTTGATTGCTTTTTTTTTTTACCGAAGTCTTTGCTTTCATTTTAAACAAATACAACCGTTGTAAATATTAATTTCCATTTTTCTTGTAAAGCACTTTACACTAAGCTGTAAACTGGTTTCCATAGATCTTAACTATACAGTAGACAAAACATTAAAGAAGATTTTAGTGATTATATGTAAGCAAGACAGGAAAAGAAAGTATGTAAATAGCTTTTAGGACCCTTCTGATGTTGCGCAAAAGCAAACCTATTGCTTTGTCTGCAGGACATACAAATGAAATTAAAAGGAGGAAAACAATTTCAATAACAACTAAAAAAGCCTTTTAAAATGTAGAATCCTTGGAGTTCTATGAACTATTCCTTGTGATGAAACAGTCTTTTTCTTTAGAGAACATACCCAGCACTGCCCACACCTTCCCCTAGAGAAAGGTTTAGAATATATATTATGATCTAGAAATAAATTCTTATAGCACTGAGCTGCAGATATTTGTCTGGTCACCGTGATTTGTTACCGCAGTCAATGTTAAGTGCTACAAAAGCTGTGGCCATCCCATCATTGTGAGAAATACATGCCCGTAGCTCAAATGCATCGTGGTGTTGTTCTGATTCATCCTGGCAGCTTGTGCCAGGGCTGTATTTTAAGGGCATCCTGTAAATGAAAATGTTAGGATAGGATTTGGGTTTCCAGGAATCACATATTGTCTTAATGTGATGTGCTATGAGAGAGAGACGTGAGTTCTGCGTGGTTTGTCCATGTGGGGCTTTTATCTCCCAAGCTGATGGATGACTGTGGGTTTCTTTACTTTCAGAACTAACAGAAAAAATTCTAGTGAGGACTTAAAAAGTGAGATTTTAGAGGCAGGGGATTTGTTGCTTTTTAATATAGATGAAAAAAGCATATAGATTTAGACAAATTCTTCTATTTACTTCACCAGTACTAACTCCAAATTAGGTCTGAAATGTGTGAAATCACATTAGATTTCAGCAGCATTGCATAGTTCCCACTTCAGGATAAACTGATTGTTAAGAAAGGTAATTTAACCTACAAGATCATCATTATTGACAATGACAGAGAACAAACCAGTCTGATTCTCAGATTTTTAAGGTACAGTTTAATTAAAACTAAGTCATTTAATAAAATTACTTACAACAGTTTAGCAATCCTGCAATCTCATTTTTATGAAGTTACTTTCCAGACCAATAACGCACTTAAATCTTTAATGATGTTTCCATGTTTCTGAAATGGAAAACCTTAAATTACTTTTAATGTTATAGGTGGAAACTGTAGATAAATACTACTTGTAGCTTCAAAACATCCAGACTGTGACATGCTGCATGCCTTTTGTCTCAGTGTTCCAGGCTGAAGGACAACAGAAGCATCCTCGAAAAAAAAAGAGGTGTCTTGATCCATTTCCAGAGTGGGCCTGAAATAAGGGAAGAACTGCCAATGCCACAGCTTCTCCTTGCTATCTTTTGCTGATCTCATCTTTCGGTCTCACTGGAGCTGATTTCGGGGAGGAGAAATCTGATAGTAAGTATTCAGTGGCCAAGTAAGTGCATGGTTCTCCAGTGCTGAATTATCCACAGCTGCTTACTGTTAATAGCTCTGGGCTAGACAGAGCAGGACTGGTGGGACAGTGACTGCCTGTCTCCACGATAAAATAGGGAATGTCCAAACTTAAAACCGTTATTTTCCTCAGTGGCATTGTATTTCAAAAGAATTTTGCATAACTTTAATGTGTCCATTTAAATGTGTCCCAGCCAAAGAGATAGGGACGAGGGGTGAAACTACAGCACAGCGATGATGAAAGGCACTGGTTTGCATCCTGCTCTTATGAAAGAGTCACTGATACCCTGCAGCCAAAACCACATCCAGTTTAACTGATGCTTGCCACCTCGGGGATGAAATTTTCCCTTCTGATTAGACAGTTAGGAGAGATTTGAAAGGTTCTAGATCTTCCCTGACATGTCCAACAGTATTGGCTCTGATAACATGTAGAGAAACAGCTTACATTGATGCATGTGAGTTATGCAGCTGTCATGGTGTGATTCTTGGGGCTATCCTGTGCAGGGCCAGGAGCTGAACTTTGATCATCCTTGTGGCTTCCTTCCAACTCAGGATATTCTATGGTTCTATGGTTCTGTGAGCAATGGCTTTTTTTTCTTGTTATGAATCCTCTGCCACTTTTCTCTCCCTTTTTTTTACTTTTGCACCACAACTAATGTTTGTTTGTGACTGGGAGGAACAGTAACTTCACAAATACATCTTCCTCATGTTACCACCAGTCTCTCTCATGTTACTACCATGTTTCTACTTTGTTAATTAGAAAAAACAGTGACTATCCTGTAACCAAGGCAGACTTTTTAAATGCGCCTTAACAGTAACTAAAACCAGTGCATATGCAAACAGGTAAAGTACCTGTGTCATATTTCACTAGAGATACTTGGGTGGCATAATTTATATAAATATATATATGTCAGATACAAAGATATGTAAAAATAAATAAATAAATACATACATATACACACACATGTATTTGTGTATATGTATGTATTTATTTTTATGTATATATATTTTTCATCTATATATCTGACATACGCATGTCAGATATATAGATATATACACATACATACACATGTATATGTGTGTATATGTATGCATGTATTTATTTATATTTTACATGTATCTATATATCTGACATATGTATGTAAAATATATATAAAAGTAAATAAACACACACATGCATATACATATATGTATGTATATATATGCCTCTTTGCCTGGGGAACTGGCAACAGAGCAAGAAGACAGTTCTAATGTGCACCAGCAGAGGTTTAGGTCGGACATTAGGAAGAACTTTTTTATAGAAAGGCTGATTAGCCATTGGAAGGGGCTGCCCAGGGAGGTGGTGGAGTCACCGTCCCTGGAGGTGCTTAAGGAAAGACTGGACGTGGCACTGAGGGACTTGGCCTAGTTGACACAGCTGCGTTTGGTCATAGGTTGGACTCGATGATCTCAGAAGTCTTTTCCGACCTAATTGATGCTGTGGTTCTGTTTTTAATGCACTTATGAGGAGAAGTATCGTGTTTGTAGGACACCCCTGTGTTTACAGCAGACTGCCGCCCCTCTGTCGCTGAGGCAAACGCGGACCCTCGGTGACAGCCCCGCCACTGCCCTCCGCCCCCGGCCGTGAGGGCACGGCCCGGCCGCGGGCGCGGCCTCGCCGCCCGCACTGCGCAGGCGCCGCCCGCGCGGGGCCGGCTCAGACGTGGCACTCGGGCTCGTGAGGGAGCGGGCGCGCGGCCCCAGGTAACGGTCCCAACGGGCACCGCCGGCTGAGGGGCCGCGGGGCGGGCGGGGGCAGCGCGGGGGCTCCGGCCGCCCTCCCTCCCTCCCTCCCTCAGCACCGGGAACCGCGGCGCTGCTCGCACCCGCGCCGAGCCCGCGGCGGCGGGACGCGGCCCCGGGCGGGCACAGGTCACAGGTACAGCCGCGGGACGCGGGGCGGGCGGTGGGACCGGCCGCGGGGCCAGACCTGTTGCGAGCTTACGGCGGCTGAAACCGCGTAGTTCGTGGAGATAGAAATGTTACGTGCACGGGAAAAATACAGAAATCCTTTGCAGGCTTTGCACTGAATGGAGAAAACTTCAGCTTTTGCTTTCATGGCTTAGCTCAAAATGTGGTAGTGAAAAGAAACCCTCAAACCAATATATGTGTTTTAATTGCGTTGTGTATGTATGTGTGTGTGTGCGTGTAGATAAATGTGCACACCCCAAAGATTGTTTGCCAGATTGAGGTTGCAGCGTGCCCTGGGAAGGGACAGCCCCTCTTCCTACATGATGTGTTACTGAGCACAGTGTCTCCGAAGAAATACAAAGTTAATAGTTCTTCTTCAGTGAGCCAAGGACGCCAGCCTCTGGTTTTGATTCTCTTGTCCTACATTCAGAGACGGAGTTTTACATCTTTACTCACATATATACATTAATCCTCCGAAAAAGATGACAACCTACTCTGTAATAGCGGTAAATTAAATTCTGGAGTTGTTCCTCAGTGTTAGTGTTGTTCCCCAGGCTATAGGGTGTAAGGCAAACTAATGTTGACAGAGACAGGGAGGAAAAAAGTTTTCCTGTCCTTCAGCATAGAGATGCTTGTAGTGAATAAACCTAGGGAAAGATCTGGGTTTAGCAGATCCGCTCATCTCATGCAGTTTCCGGAGTGAATCTGTATGTCTGTTGTTAGAACCTGATCACTAAACCCTTAGGTGATTTTTCTGTTGATATTTTGGGTGTTGCCTCCAAACTTTTCTTGGTGTGTTGGTATATATGCCTGTCTTGAGATTAAATATGCTCATTGTTAAATAGATTCTGGAACTGTGTTCGATAAACTTGCATTATTTTGCTTGTGGTTACAGTTCCTGTCTCAATCAGCACGACCTCTGTGTTTATACTGTCTGTGGGAAGTTTGACGTGGCAAGTTTTTTTTTTTTTGTGTGTGTGTGTGAGAGTGAGTAAGCTGTGGAGGAAGTAATTTCCCCTGGATGCTCTTGCAGCTTAAGGTGTTGGCTGTTGCAGCTGCCTCAAAGTGAAAGTCTCTTCCTTTATATAGATATAAAATATATATGTATGTATGTCTGTGCCAGTGTGTAGGTAATTTAGTGCTGATTTAGTATCTTTTGGAGCAACTAAAGCTCTCACTGCCACGTCTTTTCTGATGGAGGCAGAGGAGTGAAGAAAGTACAGCTGGCAGCACCAAGCCTCTCATTAAACATTTCTTCTCCTCGTGTTTACCTCGTTAACTAATAAGCAGTAGAAAAGTCCCTAAGATTAACTACTTGAAGCAGTTTGATACTACAGCTGAGAAATCTTACAGCTCATTGAGGAGTGTGGTTTAGAGGGTTGCACAGGCAGGGTGTGGGGAGGGCTGGGCCCTGTACACAGCTCAGGGTAGTTTCTTGTCTGATGTGGAAGATCAGTAAAACTGTTGGTTTTTTTTTCCTTCAGAAATAGGTGTTTAATTTGAGAAGCCTAGAGATGGGTTTTCTGATAGGAATAGCTTTTCTATACTGACATGTACCAGTGCAGCATGAATTTATGTGTGTAATCTTGAGGAGTCTTTGTGTGTGCTTCTGGAGCACAATTCCCGATTTATTTTCATCCAGTTTGCGTATTTAAAGATGACTCCATGGCTTGAGCTTAAGAATGTGAAGTGTAGGTGGTTGGGGAAGCTATTTCAAAGGAACATTTAACACCTAAAATGATAGTTTATGTTGTATGCCTTTAGTTCTTTGGGGATGCCTGACCTATGTGCTTGGGGCTCTACAGGAGTAGGAAATGCTCACTCAGGGTTTGGATCCTCAGGACTTCCCTCAAAGTTTTCTAAAATTTTATTCTAAGCTCTTTAACAAAATCTGACTACAAGAAGCAAATTATATGACTTGTGAATGCTCTCATCATTAGAAAACTTTTTCTGAATTGCTTTTTGTCAAATTCCATTTTTTTGGTTGTTTCATTTTCTTTAACAACAGAATCAAGATGTGAAAGTTTAGAGACAAGGTGCCTGATAACAGCAAGGACAACACAGAATACTGTTGAGGCCATGCTGCCCTCAGAGAGCAGCTTCTCACTTGTGGAAGACCTTGTGCTGAATTTTGTCACACTGTGCAATTCTGCAATAAAAATGCTGCTCAGGCTTGGCCCACTAATGCAGAAAACAACTGGAAATAGGATCTCTCTCTATCCTATATTTTATTCTCTCTTTCTCCAGCATAAAAGCAAGGAATCTTCCCTCACTTGCTTGGAATGGGGTTTGTGTAAAAGGTTTGATGGAAAGCTGGTGCCATGTTCCACATCTGCTAAAGAAAGGCGTGCTGGGACAGGAGAAGGATTTGCTAGGGGAGTTTTATACTCCAGTCACTCTGCCTTTTCTGCTTTTTCAGTGTTCATTGGGATGGCTGGTATTTGGGAAGCAGGATTCACAATGTATTTTCCAGGTGTAGTTAAGTCAAGGTTTTCCTGGTAAAGAGAGCAATTTGGGACTTTCCTTTGAGTGTTTTTGCCACCTGCATATCATTACTTAGTTTTTCTCTCCATGGGCCTGGGAGAGGTGAATCCCATTCAGAAAAAATCAGTGATTTGTTTAGATTCGTGCAGTATGTGGTAGTGCTGAGGAAACCAAGCAAGCAAATAAACTCACTATATGTCCTTGACTTCAGGTCCTTTTTTCCTTTTATCTTTTTTTGGAAAATACAGTTCACAGCCTTTAAAATGCACAGAGAGTGATGAGTAGTAGCAGGTGTCACTTTCTCTTTTGCAGATCCTTAAGGAAGACCTGATACTTGGAATGAGAATATTGCCATCATGAGTCAACAAGGTTATGTTGCAGCTCCTCCATATTCCCAATCCCAACCAGGAATAGGAGGTTTTGGATCACCTAATTCTTCACTTCATTATGGACATTATGGGGACCCGAACTCTTCATACTCAGCACCTCAACCAGGTATGATTTTGGCTTAAAATTTCTGTTGAGAGTCTACTTTTCTGTGGTGATGTTTTCCATCTCTTTTTCTTACCTTTCTAAGTTTTACACTGCTACTGCAACAGGAAACGGAATAAAAGAAGTTTTACCCAGTTTCTCTGAAACTTTTTACTAAAGACAGCAGGAGTTGTGTTACTTTAATCAAAAGCTGAATATAGTCAGAATTCTGATAGAACTACTTCTGGTAATTGGCATATTAGAATATTTGGGAAAAATACCAGTTTTGGTATTTTTTTATGTTAGAGTAATTTAAAGGGAAATAATTCAAGGGATACAAGTTGAAATATTGTTTATTCAGCACTGCTGTCTGCATAAATTACAGTTTCTTCACAGTCAATGTAGTAGGTCTGAATTAAGAACCATTTTCAGTATAGACTTGGAGGCTTGTTTTGTTTTTGTTCTTAAATGTTGTTCCAAGTTTTCTCCTTACCTTGGTCTCCAAAATCAAAGGGACCTCTTGATTCTACTTAGAAATATAACTGAGGGACAGGGAATGATGAGTATCCCAAACTGTCTGTTCATTGCTTCTTTCTTACTGTCCCTCTTGGGTTCTTTTGCTGGAAAGGTACAAACTGCTATTTGTTTCCTTTGTACTGTCTGTTAGTTTTTCATGCCTGCTTATACAACTGACCAGAAATCTGTGCTTTCTTGGGGAATCACAGAATGACTGAGGTTGGAAGGGGTCTCTGCTCAAGCTGGAGCTGGTATTCTTATTGCTAAAACAGGGCTGTACACTGTTATTTCTTGGCCATCTTGTGCTTTCTTACAGAGTTTTACATGAAAGTGCTTAATCTTTTTCAGGTGTGTCAAAATCAACTGTGCCTTTTGGATCCTCGGCTCCTGTTGGGCCTCCACCACCTGGTGCCCATCAGTTCAGCCAGACCAATTTCCAGAATGGGCCTGGGACACCAGGGCAGCAGCCACACAGGTGACCTGAAAGAATTGATATGTGAGAGCTGAGCTGTTTGACCTCTCTTACCTGACTGTGAAGGGAATGGGGAAACCCCTCAGTTTTACAAGGGGTTGTAGGAAAGTCAGTGTTAATCTTCTCTGGGACATAGCCTGAGATCTTGTTTTACCAGAGTGAAATAGTGTGGTAGGGAATAACTTCATAAGCCACATGTGTGTTTCTGCTTTCTTTTCTTTAGTTATTTTTCTTGCATTCCATATCTGATAATCATGAAGCAGTTTTTCCCTACCTGCATCTTCTTTTTTCCTCTACTACAGAGAACTCCTCAACAGTTTCTCACTTCCTTTTCTTTTCTTTACAGATTTTTCTCCTAATCTTCTTCACACATCCCTGGTAGGGAATGTTCCTTTATAAGCTTGGAAAGGGGATGGAGTGCTGTGATATGTTCAGAAGCTTGTGTTTCTTAATCTTAAGGCTTATAGTTATTACCACTCTCACTTTGCCATGGCATTTGTTTCTAACAATTCAAACAAACATGTACTACCTTTTTTACTTAAACAAGTGTGCAGTCTCTCTGTGCTTCACGTGCTTTGTATGTTTTAAGACTAGTGAGCAGAATGTGGGCAAACTCTCTTGAGGATTTGTCCTAATTAATTGTTTTGGCACCACCCTTGAGAAGGTATGAGATCTTCTAGAGTTATGATTGGTTGATGTAATTTTTTTGCATAACTGCACTAATTTTTCTCTTTAGGTTTCAAGGCCCTCCACCTGCAGGCAACACAGGAGCATCCTATCCTCCCTACAGTCCTCAGTCACAACCAGCCTTCCCAAATGCTGCACCTGCCTCATCTACAGCACAACTTGCTGACCAGCTCAACAGCATGCAGATAAATAACTATGGTAATGGTTTTGTCTCATCTGAGTGACTTTTTCTCAGTTAAAGCATTAAGACTATGATAATTAGAAAGCTACTGAACTTCTGTGTAAACAGAAAATGAAATCTTTGGCCACTATGATTTGTTTAAGCTCTTACAATTCTTTTTATCTCATCCAATTCCAAAACCAGTATTATTGGGTTAATTCTGAATTGGTGTTTGATGAAACTTCTGTAAAAGTCGGCCATCCCATCAGTCATTTCTCAAATTACTTAGTGAACCTGTCAGGAACAGCCAAGGCATGAGCAATAATATGCAGACAGGGTTTAATTTTCCTCACCTTTTTACAGTTTCTCTCTGTTTTGAAACTCTTTTATTCTTTTTTGTATAAACATTTTAATTTTTCATCTAAATTTATCTGCATTTATTTTGATGTTATAACATGTCAAACCTAGGCCATGAAGTAAAGATGTGATCACGTGATGCTTCCATGTAAATTACTTCCCACCACTAGTTTTGATATGTATGTAAATGCTGTAAAATATATAATACATAAAACAATTACATAAAATATAATGTTCTCATGTTATGTGCTGGAAGGCTGAGATACCCTTTAGGCCACTGAAGACAAATTCTATACAACTTTGCCTCTCTGTTGGGTTTTGTTCTTGTGACTTTTCCACAGCTGTAAGACTGAGTTGATGTAACTTTACTGAGTGAGAAATTCAAAGCTTGAAATCTGCTGGAGTGATATTTTTGTACCAGCTGAAAACCTGAGCTTGTGTTTTGCATGTGAAGTCTTGTTTGCAGTTAATGTGTCTGACAGAAGATGCATTTTAGTGCTTGTGTATTAACACACTGGTCCTTTCGATTCAAACCTAATTTTGGTTATTTTTTAGCTTTCTTTAAAATTATTTTGCCTTAGGTCTTTGTGAGAAATTTGACTAAAAAATGTAGGTTTTGTAAAGTAGTGAGTATTTACAGATAGTAAGTCTCAAATCCCTCCGATTTCCAGGGTTCTCTTAATTTTAATTGGAATCTGGATCCTATAAACAGCAAAGCTATTCCTCACCAGTGTGTACAAAATAATTCCCACATGTTTCATCTTTTAGCATCAAGTGGATTTATTTTCCATCAGACTTGTCATGGTGAAGTACAAATAGCAGACTAACAAAAACATGCCACATAAGAGAAATTGATTATTAAGCAAAAAGAATGTTGTTTCACATTCTGAAATTAAATATTTCAAAAACAAAGGCTGATCTATGCGTATTCTAATCAAGAATTGTCAGTCTGGCTTTCCTCTCTCTTTCCCCATCCCTCCCAGCTGCAGGGTTCTATTGAAAATAGAGCCAAAAGGAAAAAATTGAATGTCTGGATCAGTTCAGACATACTGTGAGGTCAGATTTGTAATGTGAACAGACATGGAGAGTCCCCATGGTGCAGCACTGTCAGTATGGGATACAAGATTGTCTCTGTTAAAAGTGTACTGAGGAAAGCCAGAGCACCTTCCACCCAGAGCTGGGAGGTTATCATTTGACACTCATCTGACATAGTTTCTCGCTCAGGTCCTGGCCCCACTCCGAGCCCTGGGCATCCGGCATCTTTCCAGAGTCCACGACTCCCACCACCACCAACCCAGCAGCAAATGGTTCTGCCACCTGGGCCACAGGTTCCTCCTCCTCCACCGACCGGGAGTGTCAATGGCCTGTGCGCTCAGCCGTCACTGCCTCCGATTGCCAGACAAGGTGGGATCCCTGGACCTGTCCCTCCAAATCCTAACCTGCAGCAGCTCCCAGGACAGCCTCCAGGGCCTGGATATCATCCTCAGCAAGGTAGGGAAAGATGTTTGTTCTGTAATTGAAAACAAAGCATGAATGGAGAATCCCTGATGGAACTGTGTCCATTTGCTGCTGAATATTCAGCTGATTGGAAAAACAAAAATTTCCTTTTTGTAGAAAGGTAAAGATTTGCATTGTCAGTCAGTACGTCTGAGACAGGCTCTGCTTTTGCTCAAAAGTTTAGCACTCTCTTGAGAGTTAAGAAAAAAAAAGGAGATTAATTTGTATCAGAAGGAGAATTACTTCATTAGTAATTGGTGAAGGCCCATAGTACAGAAAGGAGTTTCTCCTACACTCTATAAAGGTATAGGCTGCTCTCTGTCTTACAGTAGTGTCATAAGCAGCCTTCAGAAATGGTTTACTGTGGCAACAGTGAATTGTAACTGAATACAGCTATTTCACCTGATATAGGTGAGTGAAACAGTTATTTTGACAACTAAAAAGCTGGCTAACTAGACCAGCTTGCATTGACTCGTGTTAGGGGAGAGATTCTCACTGATGTAATGGCCTGGGTTGAGTAGCTGTGGTCATCTCTGCTAACCATCCTACTTAATGTATACCTGAAGACTTTGGGACCAGAGTTGTCACATGTAGTCTTATTCTTACCTTTAAAACACAAACTGCATAAGCCAAAGGAATCCCTGTCTTGTCCTTGCTGAAAACAGAAGGGAAGAAGAAATTCAGTAAGAATTAATTTTATGGCAGAAATTGATGTTAAAAGTTGATAATGGAACTTAAATACTTTAAATAAATTGTCATTTGTAACTCTGCAGCAAACTATGGTCCTCTGATGGCAGGATCTCAGCTGTCTTATCCTGGTGCTTTTCCTGGAGGTCCAACACAGCTCTCAGGCCCACCGCAGAAGAAACTTGATCCTAACTCTATTCCAAGCCCAGTAAGTAATGTGGCACTAATTTTTTATAAAAGTAACTTTCTACTGCCTTTAAGATAAGGGAATGGCAGTGCTAACATTGTGTTCATTGTAGCTGGAGGGGGTTTTTGTGACATAAAATTGTGCTTGCATGGCTTGGTTCACAAGATATGCTCTAGTGTCTGCAGTTTCCTATTTATGCAGTTTTGTACTCTGAGCTGTCAGTTTGGGATAAATTAGTGCGTAAAGTTAGTTTGATTATTGAAGTTGCTTTGTAAGTTTATCTAGCATGGGACATACTCATGACTCCAGATACTTTACTAGGAGCTCTCAACAGGATTCTTAGTGTGGCAGTGGGCAGTACAGAAGGATTACTTGAATTCACTGCAGGAATCTTCCACTTCTGCTGAGGCAGGTTTGCTGCACAGGAAAAACATTCTTGCAAAAACCTGACCCTGTCTAGTAGGGAACAGTCTTGCTTTGTCCTTCTAGAAAAGATTTGTTTTATCCTGTGATGGTTTTGATGTAACCCCCCCAGAATTTTGGAAAAAACACTTTGTAATCCCTTAGGGGTTAATGTAACAACTGCAGTTGCCTCTGTTAAAGGCAATTTTCAAGTTAAGTATAACTGAAAACCATGGTGTAAAAAAACCCCTAAAGTGAGTGTCTGTATAAATAACAAATGCCCTCAAGTCAGTCATTCCTGGTGTTTCAGTGTGGTGCTTTTTACATCGGAAGGATAAAATGGTCTTGTCTAAGTTAAAAAAAAAAAAAAAAAGGGCAGGGGGATAAGGGGGTCTGGCATGAAAACATGGGCTGATGTCTTGTTTCAATTCTGCATGTAGCATAAACAGCCTTGACTATGACAGTCACGTTAAAATAGGTTAAAAGGGTTGGTTAAGCAGCACAAAGAGGATCGAAATGACATGTTTAAAAGAAACACGATCTGGGTCAACGTCTGTAAAGGGCAAAAAGCTAATTCAGAATGAGGAATGAGTATGGCCATGTGTATTTCTGTTGTTATATTTACATTATATAATTACAGAAGTGTTGCCAGATAGATTTACTTCTTATCTGTAGCCATTGTTGATTTATATTTCTCTTACATATGTTAGAGGTTGATATGTGCTCTGACAACATTTATGAAAACTAGCGTCTGGGCTTTGTCAACAGTTATTTCCAAGAACAATGATATATTTAGGTCAGTTAGCTGCAGAATGCTGTGGTACACTGATCCTTTGCAGAGCTAAGTCTGAAAGTGGTTTGCTTTCTTCAGCCTGTGGACCTTTTTAGAGCAGAACCTTTTTCCTTCATATGCAGGAGTTTGCTATAAGTATACATGCCAAGGAAGGCAGGGAAAAGTAATTAAGCAGGAGATCTAGTAAGCTCTCTGAAGAATGCCTTGTATATTTAAATTGCAGTACACAAACTTTACTGGGGGGAAAAAAAAGTTACAGGCTCCAGACTGTTTTCAGTGTGTTAGGAAATACCTCTTGGACATCGATCAGTAGACTCTATGCAAGTAATTTTGTTTTTTTCTCTGTTTGCTTTCCAACAGAGGCTTCTGAACTTCCCTAGCTATTATTAGAAGTTCATGTGCAGTGTAAAGATGCCATTCCATGAGATACTGGCAGCAGTGGCAAAGCCAGTTTCAGAAATTCCGTCTCATTCCTCTTGCCTCTACAGCTGTTTGGATGCACTCTAAACAAGGTTGTGAGGGAAGAGGAGGAATAATGGTATCATCCTTGGGATCTGATTTCTGATGTGGAACAAAATACAGCTTTTTATAACTTTGGTTATATCCTGAAAAGTATCAGAGTGAGGGACTGTGCAGAAGTAAGAGAGAAAGGAATTTGGGCAGTAAAACCAGCTGCATTGAGAATTTCATGACATGATATGGTAAATGCTCTAAACTAGGCTTCAGCCAGAGTGTCACTTGGTGTAGATGTTAGCCTGTTTGTGAATGCAGCTGAATGCATGGCTCACCTTTCTCATACTCTTCTTGCTGCTTATTCATCAGATCCAAGTAATTGAAAGTGATAAAGCTGCCAGGGGAGGGCAGGTCTATGCTACAAACACCAGAGGACAGGTTCCTCCTCTCGTCACCACTGACTGCATAATCCAAGACCAAGGTAACTGCCCTTGCTGATTTGGGAGTCTTTCTAGATGAAATCAAATGCAACTAAAAAACAAACAAAAAAAGACTAGATTTTCAAATTTTTCATCTGAAAACCGTGTTCCTTACTCTAAATTGGACATGAAATTGGAGACTTCCTTGAAATAAAAGAAAAAGGGGGAAGGAGGGAAGTAGGAGTTGAATTCTTACACCTTACACCTCCTCTACCTTTCCTGGCCTTTAAAGTAATCTGAATAGTTGAGACAACTTTTCTTTTTAACTTAAAATTTTCCAAGATGTTACATTTCAAGCTGAAAATCCTTTTTGGATTCTTCTGAAATTGTAAAAGATGGACACTGGAAGAAGCAGTGAACCTAGACTCTAGCACTGTTATGTTTTAAGATAACAAATTTTAGGAAGTTCTCTTCCAGACAACAAGGGCCTTGAAGTGTGCAAGCTGTCTAGTTAACTTACACTGGCCAAAGGAAAAATTTATCTGCCTTTGTCTCTGCCTAGAGCCTGGAAGTACAATGTTCCACGTGCTGCTCTTGACAGCAGACTTGGTATTTTAATACAGGTTAAACTGATGGTACTGCTCAGCCCAGCAGTAATTTATCAGTGCTGGGATAAATGTGTAAAATGTACAAACACGTCAAAATTTTTTTGGCATTATCTGAGAATGGGATAATGCAGTTCTGATGATCCAGGAAATTCCTCTCAAGAAACTGAGCAGAGCTGCAGCTTGATAGTTCAAGAGGGAGCACGAGGAGGCTGATTTCTGAGCTCGTGTCTCCTTGCAGTGCTCGTCTGTAGTGCACAGCACAGTTTCTCCCTGAGGGGCCTGGGCTAAGTGTGCTACTCAAAGTGATGTGGTGACTTCAGCACACTGTATTTGACAATATAAGTGAGCAGGGGGATGTTAACACAGATACACTATTTGCTGAATCAGAGCTAGCTCATTAGAGCAGTCTTAACAGTAGGTATCAGTCTGCCTCATTGCTTTATATACAGTGCTGATATTGGGGGGATATCATCTATGTTATTTTTTTTTAAGATGGTAGATATGATAGGTTTCAAACTAATGTCTTTTATTGCAAATAATTGTGGGATTATTCTTGATATGTTTAAATCCCTGCTTTAAACTCAAACAGCAAGGAAAGATTTAACCAGAGGGAGGGACAGTGGGCTGACCATAAAGAGGAGAGGTGGGCAGAAGCCTGCATGAGAGGGGAAAAAAGCACGTATTTAATGTAACATATGCCATTGTTGCTTGATGTTGTTGTTTGGATTTTTCTGCTTTGTGTTGGGGTGGGAGGGTTCCTTCTCCCAGCCTTTCCCTGTGCTGTGTTGGGTGTTGCAGGCCACGCCAGCCCTCGTTATATCCGATGTACCACCTACTGCTTCCCGCTGACTTCAGATATGGCCAAGCAGACCCGCATTCCCCTGGCAGCTGTCATCCAGCCTTTTGCTAATGTCCCACCAAATGAGGTAAGGGCTACCTGAATATCAGTCCTAGATGGTTTTGTCTCCTAAATATTGCTGACTTGTTCTTCTCTCATCAGGTTGGGGGTGAGAGGGTTTTACCTCAGACTGTGAATTGGTAAGACAGTAGAGAGATGGCAGAAGACTATGGGTCATGATGCAATTTGAAGGGATAAAAATCTTCATTTGGAGAAAGTACAGGAGTGATCAGTCTGTAATATGAACCACACCTGTTTCCACAACAATCTTTAGTTTATGCCAGCTTTGTTAGTTGCTTGCTCTGCTGGAGCTCTGTAGGTGTGGGCAAAGACATTAGAAGATGAGTAGGATCTTCAGCTGTATCAAATTATTTTTAAGATGTGGAGAGTTGGATTCAAAGAATGACATTTTTCTATTGAGTTCTTTGCAAAATAATTTAATTGCACAACAGAATTGCATTTTCTACTTGGATGAGCTGAGTCATATAAAGAAGACGAATGTAACCACCCATTTTTGGCACTCATTTGGAGGCACTAACCTCATCAGTTCTTTTCTTACATGACCATCTCTAATGGCCTTTGATATTCTAAACATACCCCTAGTTCTTCTGCAAAGGATTTCTGCAGGGTGGCAGTATTTGGGGGTCTTAAGACAATTACCCAGGTTTGCTGGCACCCCCGAAGTGTTTTATCAATGCATTTCACTGCATCATCTCTGGGATCATCTTTCTTGTTCTTCAACTCCTGCCTCCTCTGTTGCACAGCTTCTAAACTCTGCAAGGTCTGCAGAATGCATTTCCTTTCCTGATTTACTTTCAGAGTGCTGTTTACTGGGAAAAAACCTGACGGATTTCATGAAGCAGTAGTATGAGATTGCATCTTCAAAAACTCCCCAAAGAATGCATGCACAGAAAAACCTAATTAAAATTGCTAAGACCTTCAGTGCTTGGTTTTGCAGTCTTTGATTTTTCTCTAACTTTGTTTTATTACCTGTAAATTCTTAGTGATTTGGTTTTTTTTAAATATACGCCGGTAAAAGCAGATGTTGTTCTTTATCAGGATGGATAACTTCCAATCCAACAGACCTCTGTAGTTCGAATTAAGAGTATTATTTTAGCAGGGCAGTATGTAGTTATCTTCTCTGTGGTCCTCAGGGAAATAGGATGTATTGCTCACGGTATTGCAGATACGGAGTCTCACCATTTGTCTGCTAGACAGCAACTTTGGGTTTCATTCCAGTTCTGGAGGGGAATGTGCAGACTTGGCTTGTTGCCCTCTGCATTTTCTCCTAGATGAAACTCCTGCTGTTGCTTCTCCACCCCTTCACTTTATCAGCCAGCCTTTACTCTTTACCACCCTTTATCCCAGTTTCTGTGCCCAGGTGGCACTTACCAAGTCCACTTTGGTGTTGGCTCTTCGTTTGTTCATCTTTCACTTGGAGTCTGCCTCTAGTCCTTTATGTCCCCCACTCATGGCTCCCTTGTCTCTGCATTGTGTTTGGACAGGATGAACAATGAGCTTCTAAAATCTGACTCTCTTCTGCATACATAAATTTGCAGGATGTCCAAACACTTGTGCTTGGCCAAGTTCAGGGGGGTTTTCCTGGGGTTGGCAAAAAGATGTGCTGGGTGACCCACCCGTTCTGAAGTGTCAGTGCTCACAGGCTGTTGGAAAGGTCAGTGGGGCTCATTAATCTGTAAAGAGCAGTGTGTTTTTTCCCTAGCCTTTTTCTTGGAGGAGGCTAAGAAAGCTCTGAAAAATGCCTCTCAAAATTGGCAAAAACCCAGTGTGGAAACTTTTAGTCAGAACAATTATAGCTGGGTAAAGTTATAAGAACTAAGGAGATAGTGTTAGAGTAAGAAGTGCTGGGCAGCCTCAGCTGAGGCAGTTTTTCCAAGGCTTGCCTGTGCCCTTTGTCTTCACTGCTGCTGCCAAAATCAGATCTTGCTCTTAAGTTCTTCTAATAAAAATGGTCTTCCATATGGGATTTATAACTACCTTAATTCTGAAAAGCCACTTAATTTGAAAGAACTGGGCTTTTATAGAGATAAAATACATTCAGGGGCTTACTCGTGTTTCTGAACTTCCTAGTATGGTGTGTCCTGCCTGAAACTAGTGACTGCAAGGCACAGAATGTTCTTTGTTTCAGAGTATCTAGCCTGTCTTATGCATAGTACCTTTTAACAATGTCTACAGGTGATGCTCATCACATGTTACAGGGCTACAAAGTGGAAATCTGTCTGACTTCTTTATTTCTTGATAAACAGTGTATTGTACATAATCTTAAAATACTGTAGTTTTATCTTCTTGCCTTTTGTTGAATAGTTTCCCTTTATTCATGTTGGTTGCAGCTTCAGCTGCAGATATGTCTTTTTTTCTGCTGTTTCTGACATACTCAGTGTTGGGGTGAAATTCTCCCCCAGAGAATTTCAGTTCTGTTTCTTTTCAAAGAGGAGGAAGAAAAGCAATGGCTACAAGGGTTTGGTGGACCATGGGTGGGAAATGGCCACAAATGCTTTGTGCAGCTGCTGATATGGGTGGGAACAGCTGAGACACTGACCCATCTCACTTGAACTGTGAGGACTTGAGCAGGACTTCAGTAGACATAATCCATTATCATGCATATTACACACTGTGCCTTTCTGGGTTACTAAAGCCATACTGAAAAAGCTATGAGCTAGTGGGGTCATTCAAGTGACAGATTTATGAGTGTTCTATAAATACAATTGATCATCACTTAGAGATGAGGATGAATTGAAAGTAGTATATAAAATACATTTGAATTTTCAGTGGTCTGTTGCCATAGATTCATGTCTGTATGTATTTTATTTTTTCTTTATGCCATTACTGTACTAAAACAGAAACAAAGGAGAAACCTTACCTTGTTCCCATTTCCTATGAAGATTGAGTTTTTGGCTTTGATGTATGTAGCATTTGTTGTGTAAATAATACCAAGAAAACTGCAGATCCATGCTATCCACTCCTGTCCATACTTTGCTTGACACTCTGTAATCTGAACTGCAGCAAAAATTTAGAAAAAAAAAAAAAGAGAAATAGCTGAGTCTATTGACACTGATAAAATGAGATATGTACATGAGGGGGAGAGCACAGCAGCATTTAGCATTTTCTTCTGTCAATTAGATACTGTTTATTTGACTCTGTTCAGATTTTACTCTGAAGAATCAATAGTGCTCCAGCTGATAGAGGCTGCAACACTTCCTGAAGTTTTGGAATTAATGGCTGTAATGATTTTTATTTTTTTTTTTAAATAAGCTGTCAATTGCATGCATAGTAACAGTAGTCAACTGGAAACTGAGCTCTGAGGATTTGCTTCCAATGCCTAAAAACACGGGGGGATGGACATAAAAGATCCTGGGAACTTTCAAATAGGAGTTTTAGGTCTAGTGGCTCATCAGTAGTTTCCTCAGAAATACACTTTCAGTTTGAAGGTCCAAACTGGAAAAGGTAGTCTGGGGTTTCAGCAAGTCCGAAAGGCAGATTTAAGCTCCTTAGTCACTGTGGGTTCTTTTCACCCTGTAATTAGGACAAGTGGAATGTCTGCACACAGAGACTGGTATCCTGTCTCCAAAAGTGAAGTGTGAATATTAGCATACAAAGTGATTTGGGTTTTGGTGGTTTTTTTTAAACTAAAATCTGAGAAAAAACTGTCAGGAGCTGAGAGATACACAAACTTTATTAGAGACATCCAAAGAGGTGTAGACCAGATATCTCCATTTTTATTAAAGAATGGGATACAAATTATCTCTGGGAGAAAATAAGAACAGCAAGTAAATTCATCATGGTGCTAGATGAGGATGTTAAATGAAAGATCTCATGTATGTTTTGAATAAGTGTAATGTTTCTGGGGAGAACCCCAAGACAAGGAGGGTTTGCCCCTGCTGAGAGATAAAATAAATTCAAAATTTCAGAAATGTAGTGGAACAAAAAGATGAAGATGGTGTTACTTTACACCCTGCTAAAAACTCTCCTGGCAGCTGAGACCCGATGGAGTAATATCGTGTCTGAGAAGCGTGACAGCATCTAGAAGTGTGGTGGATTTCTTAAAGTGAGCTTCTTAAGCTGAGGGGACACAAGGCCAACATAAGTGAATGCAAGGGAAGACATAAAAATATACCTGTCCAAGCAGGCTGCAGTACCAGCCTTCACATCAAGAGAGGAGAGGTCAACTCCACAAGTTGTGGTTGCAAGAGTAAGAAAGTTCTAATGCTGCTAAGATGCAGAATCATAACCTGGTAACACTGCACAATGAAAACGTGATAGAAAAGCCAGTGTCAAAATTCAGACATTAACTGAAGGAAAGGTCACAAATGAGGCTTTAATTCAGAAATGTTTAATTACTTGTGAGAGTGCATTTAAGACGCAAGTGGTGACCATGAATTGGAGATGGCTGTAGGGCTGTGTTTAGATCCCAAGAACAGGTAAGCTACCGGCACTTGGCATGTAGGCACTGAGCTTCAGAAGACAAAGTGAAAGGAATTAATTCAGGAAATCCCTCAGGCTGGAAGTTAGAGGGGCAAAATCCATGGAGGGCATACAGAGTTTGCTGCAAAAAACCTGAGCCAATCTAGAAAATTCTGAACTAGTGAATATTCCCCATGCACTATATATCATTAGAGACAGAGGCTGTTAAAACATTCGTGCCTTACCTCCCCTGCCCAGTGTCTTGACAGCACCAGACATTTCAGAATCTTATCTTTACCAAGTCCTTATTTATTATTTCTCAGCAATAACAGTCCATTTTCACTCTCCTGATTTGGATGATCTATGGAAAGTATTTGTTTGTTATAGATGGAGAATACACTATCATTGTTTGACAGAACTTATTTTTAGTCCACCAGTGCTTTAGCAACAGTCTATAAAAATAAACCAGCTCTCACAGTTATCATCATAGACCAAGCCCTACATGAATTTGTTTTGGAGATGTATGAATGTTTCCAGAGCCTGAATAAACCATGTGATCTTGATTTAACATTTAATACTACTTGCTAAAAAAAAGTTAGTTAAAAG